AGGTCTACTGTTGTAGTAGCATTCCATCAATTCCAAGTTCTCTTGTCTTGTCCATGTATGGGTTGTTCCAGTAGCCCACATATCATCAGATTGTCCTGGTTCCCCAACTTCTGACGCGGACCTTGTTAATCCGGGTGACATCCGAGCCAGCATGACTCTCTTAGTTCGTGTCGCTCTCATATTTGAGGTAGGCAGGTGAAGCGTTAGGAGGTCTTTGCCCAAGGACCCCTACTGGTAATGTACGTACCAGCCAGGATTTGAACCCCAGTCTCCTGCATCAAAGGTAGTGCTCTAACCACTACACTATCCAGCCGCTCAGTTATATAAATAAATATATATATAAATAAATAAACATTAAACAAGCAAATCAGTTTCATTTAATTTCCTTTACCCAGTAACTTATCTTCCCTAAAAAAACAACAAAATCTCTTCTTCCCATATTTTATCTTATATCTATAAGCAAACCTATAAAGCCTCATTGTTCAGATTTAATTTTTAGAAATCCCATTAAGAGCTACCAGAAAACCCTAATCTTTAAGTCCTTCAAATCACATCCCACAAATTAATTTCTTATCATTCTCTCTTTGTTTTCTCTCAGAAAATTCTTCACAAATTTTAACACTTTCCTTCAATCTTAGCATCATAACCCATCACTTTTTCTAATCATACAACAAAAATCCCTTCTTCTCATATCTTATCCAATAGTAAATCTTTAAAGCCTTGTCATTCAGTCCTAATCAAGGAAAACCTATTAAAAACTACTAGAATAAAAAACATCATATATTTTAAACTTGATCAAACAAGCCAATTTTATAATCCTTCTTTTTGGTTTTAAAAGCCTTGGTGTTTATGGCTTTTAAGTAATGCCCAAAAAGCTGTTTTCTTTCCATTTTCTCTTTATCTTTTCTCAGGAACTCCTTCATAAGTGTAACACATCTCTTTTGTAAGTCCAAAATAAGAAAGTTATCAAAGTCACTCTTCTGCGTTGAAATCCACACATCCAAGTCATTTTTCTGATTCATTATTTGTGTACCCCTTTTAGCTATTCAAACATCAGCCGGTTTCATTTGTAAGTCCTGGGTAGCATCTTTGTCAATATCAGTCTTGTATCCTATCATTTTTAAATCCATATCCAAAACAGTCTGATTCTCAATTGTATCCTCTTCTATCTCCTCTTTAAAACCCATTTTTATGGTATCAGACAATCTTAAGAGAATGTTCTGAGTACATTGTTGCCAAATATCCTTGAATTCTTCCAAAGTTAAAATATTTTTCTCCATTCTGTATTAGTGGGTCTTCTCCTTTAATTATAATTTTTAGTTCTTTCTGCTTGCCTCTAGTAAGCAGCCTTCAAGGTCTTCTTTTATCAAGTATTTCTCTAATCCATCCCATTTTCCCATGGAAGGATTTCTTACACTTAATTTCAAGATCTTCATATATATATTAATACGTTTTTAAACAAACCATAGGAAGGATTCTTATAGTTAATTTCAAAATCTTATTTCCAGTCAATCTAGCCCCTTAGTCCATTTATAACTTTCCAAAATCAATGTTCTAATCACCCTTTTGCTGCTTATTTCCAAATAAGATTTTTTTTAAGTTCTTAAGATTACATGAAATTTCTTTCATTGAGGATTGAAAGAAAATCATCCAGTGAAATAAAACTTGTCTTTCTGAAGGTTCTTAGTATCCAAAGAGCAATTTATAAGCCATTTTCAGAAGTGATTAAGAAAGGAAGTGGGCCAACCCAGTGTCTCCTTAAAGGCTCTGAACTCCGGCTTGGGCACGCTGACTCTCTCATCTCCCAGAGTTCTAAACCCCACCAGAGACTGCTGTTTTTACAGTCTTATCACAGGGAGCCTCTTTATGGAGCCCTTTGGGCGATCCCAAGTCCTCCCCTTTGTCCAGGGAGGAATTTCTCCTCATTCTGCCGCAGTCATCAGCTCTGCTGTCTTCAGTTCGCCATTGCTTCCCTGGAAGTCGCTCCTAGTGTAATAGCTTTTTGATAATTTATAAAAAAGGTTTCAATGCTGTAAAGGAAATTGGTAATGTTTTATTTATTTGATTGTAACACATCCAGTCTGAGCTAACTATAAAGGACTTACCCTCTGTTTTATTTAGTTCTTCAAAATTGGTCATTTCTTAATTAATGAAAGAACAATTAACTAAAAATAATGATGTACACAATGTAACTCATTGTTGCATCTACTAGATTTACAATGTTAAAATATGCCATATTTCATATTGAATAACAAGCAAGTTAATGCTCATTATATTTTGGAAGGCCTGGAAGACTTTGTCCTCAGTATAGTCCCTTCTGACACTGAAGAAGAGAAAGCCAAAAATACTTTCATCCTGAGCCCTAGTTTGCTGCAGAAGGCAAATATACAAGTAAATATAACTTATTTCAAATATTCAATAGCTTAAATTATTAATACCATTTTACTTATTAAGATTATTGTTTGCATCTGGTTTTCTTGATTTTAGCATAAGCAATAAGAAAAATTCTGATGATATTAAATTTCACTATTTAGAATTTTATGATGCATTATAGTATTAGAAAAGAATTCTGGAGTGACATTTATTTATTTGAATTTGCTTATTTCTGACCTCTGGGGTTCTATATTTAGTAGCAGCTAAAATATGATGGTGTGAAACTGAAGAGTTGCAATTTTGAAATATAAGGAAATGAGAAAATTATTTTGAATGTAGTATTGTAATTTGAGGTATACATATTATTTAAGTTCCTATTATTTTTTAAGAGCATCTGCCAATATAGTCAAGAAACAAAATCATTATCCTGGGCGAACTGTGGTCCAATTGTGAACTGCAGACTTTTTTTGCAGAATGGGTGAGACCAACATTTTCAGTCCTTTTTTAATAAAGAACATTAAAGAGTAAAGTGTGTGTTAAGTCTTGTAGAGCTTAATATTTCACCCTGAACACTTCCCATAATTGAGCCACTTTTTCTTACTTTCTGGGGGTCAACAGCAAAATGTGTGCCTTAAGCTTCTGTAATAGCTTCCATTTTTATAGCCCTTCCAAATAAAAATGAGCCCCAAAATTGGTCCTGCCCACTCTGTGTTGTTTTGATATCACTGATCATAACTCCCCATTAACTGTTTGAAAAACTTTTTTTTTTTTTTTAGAAAATATGCCTGGCCACAAAATACATTGCCTGTTCTTGTGTTACCCTACATGCTTCTGGAGTTGCAATAGCTATCTTTTTTTTTTTTTTTTTTAAAGTAGAGTGTA